TATTTATTATTTGATTTTATTCCTGATCATGTATTTCCCCATTTGTCTTATTCTATTTTATTTTATTTCATAGTTATTTTATTCTATTTTTATTGCTTTTCATATTTATATCTCTTGTAATTAGGTTTAAATATCCTCCTCCTATCAATAAATTAAGCAGGTCTATTTCGAATCTCAACAAGTTTTTATTAACTCTAAATAAGAAATTATATTAGGTTACAGGAAGAATCATGGGGATGAAACCTCTCTACCACCTCTCCCTACCACTATGGAAGCCTTTGCTGAAATCAGAAGAGAAGAAAGTAGGAAGAAGCTTATGATGGCAGAAAGTATGAATTCATCTAGCACTAAAAGCTCCGCATTATACATATACAACTCCTCCCATGAGTCAAAAGGCAAAGAAGAATCATCCATTGTGTTAACATTGCAAGAAACTTGGTCACAAGAACGATTAAGTGTTGGAAGCTATATGAAAAAACTATAGATTGAAAACCTGGGAAAGGAAGGAAAAACCAAGGCAGCAAGACCCATATTGCTACATCTTATGAAAGATCAGCCGACCCTAACCCCTTCACCAAGGAATTGCTAGAGGTGTTGAAAAAAATTCTTTCAGACACAACTGAATGGCACACCAACTTAGTGATACACCAACATATCATGTTCACCTCTTATCTCACTAATAATAAAATATTTCGACCTTGGATAATTGATTCACGAACATTTGTGAGTTCACCACCTACTAAGAGTTCACCGACTCAAAATTTGTTAAAGTTTTCAATGAATAAAACTCCAGGATTGTTGAGAAAAGAGATGTGAAAGTCTTCAAATATATTCAGCTCTCTTTTTTTTATATTCCCCAATTAGATTGCAACTTACTTTCAATTAACAAGTTTACTCTGACTTGAAATGTGTTATTAAATTTCATCCAAACTCTTGTGAATCTAAGGTGGTGGATTTGGAAAAGGTGATTGACAATGTTGAATTGCATCAAGTCTATATTTGATCAAGAAAACTTATTCTCATAACGCATAAGTGTCTTCTTCATCATATTTTTCCCAAATTCTAGAATTTATATTGCCCGAGTATGTTGAAAGTCAAGTTTTATTATAACATTATCATTTGGATCATCCTAATTTTTATTATTTTATGAAATTGTACATTCGTCTTATCAGTGTAAAACCTGACAATTGACTAAACATATTTCTCGTGTCTATCATTTATCTCAACACAAACCCTCACATCATTTCTTTATCATCCACAATGATATTTGGAGGACGTCAAAATTGAAAACATTAATTGAGTTATAAATGATGTATTTCCTTTATTGATGATCACAGTAGAACCAGTTGAATAATCCTCATGAATGAAAAATCTAAAACTAAACAAAGTGTCTTCTTCATCATATTTCTCCCATATTCTTGAATTTATTTTGCACGAGTATGTTGAAAGTCAAGTTTTATTACAACATTATCATTTGGGTCATCCTAATTTTTATTATATCGTGAAATTGTACATTCGTCTTATTAGTGTAAAACCTGACAATTGACTAAACATATTTGTCATGTCTATCATTTATCTCAATACAAACCCTCACATTATTTATTTATCATCCACAATGATATTCAGAGAACATCAAAATTGAAAACCATTAATTGAGTCATAGATGATGACTCTCCTTTATTGATGATCAAAATAGCACCACTTGGATAATCCTTATGAATGAAAAATCTAAAATTGAACAAATCTTTCGGTCCTTCCACAACATGATTTTCACTTAGAACCAAAATAAAATTCAAATTCTCAAAACTCATAGTACAAATGAGTACTTCAAATCTATAATTAGACCCTACTTGCAAAATAACGAGATCATCCATGTAACTTCCTGTGTTGAAACTTTACAACAAAAATGAGATAGCTGGAGGAAAAATAGACATCTCCTCGAGGTAACTAGGTTTATAATGTTTTCTGACAATATCCAAAAATATTTCTAGGAAGATGTCGTGCTCACAACCATCTACCTCATTAATAGAATGTCAAGCATGGTTCATCGGTTCAATGCCCCTCTCAATATTATGTCGGAAAACAACTGCATGTCAAAGCCATCTCAACCAATTTTCCAATAATAATATTTGGTTGGGTCTCTTTTGTTCACACTCACTAACAAAACCGCATGGAGCTTGTTCTTTAGTCAAACAACCACCCCAGATCTATAAGGACTTTTTGGACAACGCAACTCATGGTTGCTGACAATGATCTTTCAATTAGGTTTGGTCAACTACCTCCTCAGACAAAGTAGATCAGGGACTATGATGACCCGAGATGAAGGAACCATGAGATCTTGAATAAGTTTCATCGTCATTTACCCCACTATCCTCTTTAAGCTTCTAAGTGATAGATTTTACAATTTAAAATATTATGTTTGTTGTTATTATATTTTAAATATTTAATTCTTAATGACTAGTCTTAATCAAAAGTGTCCTCTTATTATCAGGAGAGATTATTAACCATAGATTGAACCCCAGATAAAGAAGTCCTCGCAAAATGAGGATGAAATCTCTGAGTGGTGTCCTATCTACAATTCAATCTGTCTTCTGGAAATTTGACCTTCCAAAGCTCTCTCAACACACAAAATAAAAAAAATAAATAAAAGTTGAGAGTCTCGAAGAGTGGTAGGAATTTTTTGAGCACGCAATCTACTACTTTAAGCAACTGACAACAATACCTCAATCCATGAAAATGTGAATCAACTTTAACAGGAGTACAATTTCTCAAATTCATCATTAAGCAAGCAAGTGTGAGTGTGGATCTAAAGTACATAGAGACAATGCAATCATGGCCAATTCCCAAGTTGATTGTTGAGGTTTGTAGTTCCCATTATCATGCAAATTTTTATAAACATTTTATTAGCAATTTCAACACTACTGTTGCACCTTTGAGATTGTCTTAAGCAAAAAATGTTTAGTTGGAGTCGAAACGAACAAGAAAGTTTTGACATGCTAAAAGATTGTGATTTCAACATCAATGCTATGTATGTCGAACTTCAATCAAGGTAGAAACTGATGCTTCAGCCACGGGCATAGTTGTCATCTTGATGCAAGAAGGGAACCAACAGAATTCTTCAATTTAAACTTAACACCTATTGTCAAAGAAGGTCTACTTTTGTATATAGTAATTTGGACGCTAAAGAATGAGAGAATGGTTTTGTTTAGTGACCACCAAACATTACAATTCCTACGAGCTCAATAGAACCTTAATTAAACAATTTTATGTTGAATGATTTTTCTATAGGAGTTTAATTTCACGATGAAACGTCATGTTGTCAAAACAATCATGTGCCTTGAGCAAACGGGATAGCTTGCTCTTGTGGTTCAAACAAAAATCATCTGTGGGAAAATTTTGTGAATTTTATATCCTAATGATGGGGGTTTCACTCATGCAAGCACCAATTGCCATTGTTAAATTCCACAAGGTGAGTATTCTTTACAATAAGAATATCATTTCAATGGCAATCAATTGTGTATATCAAACACATATCTTAGGCAACCGATTATTCACAATGGTCATAGTGGAGATTTAACGGTGCATGTTGACCGAGACAAGATATTACAATAAGTACAGTCAAGATTTTTTTGCCCAAGCTAATAAGAGATGTTTGTATATTCATGAAGAAAAGTTCCAATTGTCGAAGGTTCAAATGAATCAAGCAAAACACTAGCCTAACACATTGTTGCTCGTTCTAGACGCCATCAAAGAAGATACAGCATAGATTTTGTTTTATGCTAGGCTTTCCCTATACTAAACATGGGCTTGATTCAATTATGATGGTTGTCGAGCGTTTATTCAATATGGCATTTTGTGTCATGTGAAAGGACTTTTGATGCGTTAAACTTAGCAAAGCTTTTATTTAGAGAAATTGTTAGACTTCATGGCATTTAAAGTAATATAATTTTGAACCATGATGATAAATTCATAAGCTATTTTTGGACAGAAATATGGAAGTGTTTTCAAACATACATTCGTTTGAGCTCGGCCTACCGCACTCAAAAAGGCGAACAAACCGAAGAGGTGAATAACAGCCATGGGAACATGATTAGTTGTATCGTTGGGGGCAAACTGAAAAAACGGGGAAAATGTCTGGGGCAAGCAAAGTTTGCATTTAATGCAATGGTTAACTGTTCCACCGGCCGTTCTCCTTTTAGCGTAGTTTATTCCCAAGCATGAGGACAGCACCATTCTTCCAAGACCCAAAAGCAACAGTTCCATGAATTGGGTAAACAATTTTGAATCGATGCTGTAGAGGTTAAAGAGAAACTAAATATATCTTCACACTAATACAAAAAACAAGCTGACAAATATCAGAGATAAGAAGTAGTTGAAGTAGGTGATTTGGTTATAATGGAGACTGGCAAACAAAGATTTCCACCTGGTACTTGTTCTAAGGTGAAATAGAACTATGGAAAAGCAGAAGTTCTATAATCCATCACAAAATAATGAACCAAAAAGCAGCATTCTGAAGCTGTTGCAGGTCCAGAACTCTAGACTTAAAAAATATTCCTACAAAGAACCAAACTCTATCCATATCCATTCACCTAAAACCACCAACTCTAAAAAGAAATAGAAAACAAGAAAATCAAACTCTATCCATATCGAACAAACTGCTATAATTTCCGGTTGCACCAGATTTATCAACCCAGTAAACCTCAAGGCCACATCCTTTTCTCGCACTTGAACCCGGCAGTACACTCGAAAGGTCTCGCTACATCTTTACCCAAACTAACGGCACAACAAAACACCGTCCCTTAAAAAAGCTCCAACCGACTGTAAATAGACAAATCAACCCAGACGCACACAGAAACATCCAAAATGAGTTCTCAGACGAGCGGAGAAAGCGTGAAAAAAGACGCTAAGAAGAGAAGAAGTGAGTTAAGGGTAAAATCTGGATGACAACCCGAGCAACTAGAAATTAAGCCAAAGAAACCATAAAATCCGTAAAAATTCACCTAGATCAACTAGGGATGTGGCGTAGGTGGCGAGATCTGCTGCCCTCGTTCCTTCCCCGATCGCGGAATGCTCTCGATGCGGAATGAAGGATAATGGGGAATTGCATTTTTTGCCGCCTTTCTCTCTGTCCCCTCGATAGGAGAGAGAGAAGTATAGGAGGCGACGTGAGGGCGAAAGCGACCATGGGACTCTCGACCCGACACCGCTCCGGGTGCGGCGCCAATATCGGAGCGCCACGTGCGTGGGGACAGAGGCATGGGTTGTAGCGGAAGCCAAGTACGCATCCGCTGTTCTCTCTCTCACTATCATTTTCCATCACGGCGACGACCGGCGGCCAGAGATAGCTCAACGCCGGCGAAGCGGATGACGGTGAATCGAACTGGAGGGATGATCCAGATTCCATTTCTTATTCTTTTTCTTCTCTCGTGTTTTATTTATACTTTTTATTCTACTTTAATTCGATGGTATACCAGAGTTGGCGTGGTGGTAGGTTGGTCACGGGACAGGAGGGTTGGGCTCACGGGTTTAAGTGAGTCAAGCGGACTCATGAAACGATATAGACTCGACGCGATAAGTGGCTCGTGAATTGAGCTCAACGAGCTCATAAGTTCGAGCCAACCCCAACAAATAGAGCTATTAACAATCTGATTTCAAGCCGAGTTGAGATCTGCTCAAAAACAACTTAAAAAAAAATGATTAAAAAATTTAACTTTGAGTCCAACTCATTTATTTCGATACGATCTCGATCTGAGCCAAAATTCGAATCAATTTTCAAACGATCAACATTCTTCGGGTTAATTTCACTAAATTCACAGCCTCAACATCACCATGGCTATTAAAGATCGAACAAAATTCGATCCAAAATTTTGGCTCGTAGATCGGCTTTTATTTCAATCCAAGCCAAAATTCAAATCACTTATGTGTCTTTAACAACCTTTGAGTTAAATTTACAGTCCTACCAACAAGACTCATTAGCTCGAGAGTCGGCTAGTTCAATAATATATATACTTATCATCTAAAACATTCAAATCTATATATTTCACACATAAATTTAATATCTACATATCCATTTTTCGAGCCATTAATATAAATATATTTCTCACATGAATTTCCCTGCGCTCTCTTAGTTTTTCAATGTGGCCTGTCTCTTCCCTGATGTATATCCGGATTTATTATTTTCGACTGAAAGACAGTTATATTCATTATCACTCGCGAATTTCACCGTCAAAAATAAGTTATATTAGTTAAATTTGATAAATCCCACATAACGTAAATCTATGATGCAACCAAACACCACCTAAATACTGCAAACTTTTGAGATGAAATATTTGCATTTCAATATTTTATGTTATGTATGTAAATCCTAGAAAATTGAGCACGGTGACTCATAATTAAGCTCTCAAAATAAAAATAATTATTATTATTAAAAAATAAAAAAAAGAGAGGAAAAACATTTTTTTTATTTAATATTTTGAAAGATTCAATAAGAAAGGAAGGAGACTCGTGTCCATTTTATTATTATTAATTTGCGGTCATGATATTTGCAACTATAATTTTATAAATAATACAAGAGTAGATGCGGGTTACCCATCAAAAAATAAAGGAATTAATATAAATAATATTATTTTTAAACGGAAGAGTATTATACAAGTGAATAAAAATTGGCTCACCAAATTTCTAGAACAATGACTCTAGTATATGATTAAAAATAAATCATAGGTAATGATGCGTGTTGGAAAATTTGGGGTGGAAGAGAAAGTATGGTCATCTTGAAATCCAGCACAAATTCATATATATATATATATATATATATATATATATATATAAAGGGTCTTATTCAATTGAAATGTTTCATTATGAGTTGGTGATTACAGGTGCAGTCACTTGTCCCACAAGCACGAAAGAGTTACACTATTTGTCAATTTACGATGTTTTCACACTAAGGAACTTGTGGCCATGGCGGCCTGAGACGGCAACTGTCGGAAGGTGGGGGCCAAAGACGACGACACTCGGGAGGAAGTTGGTTGAGATGGAGCCGGCCAAAGGGCGTAGGTGGCGTCGGTGGTCGGAAGGACGAGGCGGCGGTTAGAAGGCGGCGGAAACCGGAGACGACAATGCAGGGGGAGAGGCTGCGGGTCCTTCTTATGTAGGTTCTGCTTTCTCTCAGGCTCTGAGTATTTGTTTGTCATCCCCTCTCATAGGAGGCTTGAGACTCTATTTATAGAATTTAAATTACAAATAAGGCGAGAATCCAAAACACTCTTGATAGAACGCTTGAGAGAGATCTTCTTGATTGGACAACGTTTGATGAATGTTTGACTGTGTTAATGATGTTAGAGTTGAGTGATCTTGAGCTCGTTGGATTTGTCTCGATGAGACGCTCAATTTGACTATAAGTATGTCATATTTGACATCTATTTGATCTTCGATTTATGCAAAAAAAAAATTACGAGTCATTTTTTTTGTTTGATCTGACTCAGATTTGACTATATGCATGTTTGATTTCCTTAATGATGGTTTCAATTTTGATGTCGTTAGCTTTTTCTATTCAAGCTCATCAGTTTGACTATATATTTGCTGAAATCAGACTCCATGACGACTTTTTATCACAGTTTGAATGTTTCTCGCTCAAAAAACTAATGTCGTTGTCTGTAAAATGTCTCGAGATTCATGCTAAATGTTTGAAATTTGCTGAAGGCGTATGAGTAAAAAATTTCTATGTAAAAATGATATTCGGTGGATTGACTTGTTTTTTTTTATCAATTAAATGCAATGAAAAATCATTGTTATTTTATTTGGTGATGATCCAAATATTGAGAAGGTCAAATCTCACCGAAGATCCAATGACTATTGATAATCCTTTGAGGCCATTTTAATAAAAAAATTAAATGATTTTTTTTTTTGAAATATTTTTAGCTGATGATATACTTGGATCTTGTTATGATGCGGAGCTACAATGTGTAAATCAATTATTAACTCAGAATTTTCAGTTTTGCCAATCAAACTTGCCCCAGCGTCCAACCAACAGTGCATCGCCAATTAACACCCTAGCTCCCAGAAAATGAAGTCATAACTGTTGGATAATGTGGAGACTTGGTTTACCGCAATTTAATTAACTTCCTAATTAAGAATCCCACCTACCGCCCTACCGCTCACCTGCATTCCCACCTACCACACCCACCTACCGCACATCTACCTCCCGCTTACTGCTCTCATAGTTTCTATAAATAGCCTCTTTATAGCTTGTTATAAGCCAAGCTAAAAGCCAAGCAAGGCAAAGTCAAGTCCTCTAAAAGAGAAAGAGAAGAAGAGAGAGAGAGAGAGGGGAATGAAGAGAAAAAAATAAAGATTTTCTTATAAACATTGAGGCGCTCGACGGTGTAATTCCTCGAAAAAATAAAATCCTCTGCAGCTCCGTCTGCAGCTCCGCTCTGCAGCTCCGTGGACGTAGGTAAATTTGTCGAACCACGTAAATCTGTGTGTCGCTCAAGTGTTTTTCTGCGTGTAATTTTTCTAGTTCTTTTTTTTACTCTATTGTCGTTGTTTTTCACTATAACTGGTATCAGAGTCTTGGATTCAGATCTAAGGAAGAGTGATGGGTGAGGACGAAGTAATGACATTTGGGATCGAGAAGTTCAATGACACAGATTTTGCTTATTGGAGGATGCAGATATAAGACTACCTCTATGGGAAGAAACTTCATTTTCCGTTACTGGGAAAGCGACCAGAAAAGATAGATGAGGCGGAATGGAATCTGTTAGTTCGATAGGTTATAGGGGTTATTCGATTAACCCTATCGAGATCGGTTGCCCACAACGTGATCAATGAGAGGACTACCGTAGATCTCATGGCGACTTTATCAGGTATGTATGAAAAGTCATCGACGAATAACAATGTGCATTTGACGAAAAAGTTATTCATTTTGAAGATGATAAAATGTGTCTCTATTACTCAACACCTAAATGATTTCAATATGATCACAAATTAATTGACTTCTGTTGAAATTGATTTTGATGATGAGATACGTGCGCTAATATTGTTGGTTTCAATGTCAAATAGCTGGGAAGTCATGAGAATGGTTATTAGCAGTTCTGCAGGTAAATCTAAGCTGAAATGTGATGATATTCGTGATTTGATTTTGGTTGAGGAGGTGCACATGAAGGATTCTGGCGAGGCCTTGTGTTTAAGTTCGGTGTTGAATGTTGATTCCAAATGGAGATCACATGACATGAACTCAAACAGAGGAAGATCAAAATCAAAATATGGTCAGCAGACAACCTGCTGGAATTGTGACAAGGCTGACCACATAAAAAAACTGCAGGAATCCTAAGAAGAATGAGAAAGATGACGCTAATGTTGTAACTGAAGAAATACATGATGCACCATTGCTGACAATTCACAGTTCTGTTGATGACTGGATACTGGATTCAGGGGCTCCTTTCATACATCATCTCTCCGGGAGTTAATGTGGAATTATGTTGCAGGTAACTTTGAGAAGGTACATCTGGCTGATGGAAAAGCTCTTGACGTGGTGAGGATGGGAGGCGTTGATATTGCACTCCCTAACAAGAGCAATTGGACTTTGCAAAAAGTCAGACACATTCCTGAATTGAAGAAAAACCTAATTTCTGTAGGGCAGCTCAATGAGGGTGGTCATTCAGTAGTGTTCTCAGATAATACTTGGAAGGTTACTAAAGGAGCATTAGTACTGGCTCGGGGTAAGAAAACTGACACACTATATATGAGTGCAGGTTTACTCAGGCGTGAAAACATGAGCCAGAAGTGCATTATGGGGAAGCAGAAGAGAGTCAGTTTCTTGAAAGGTGGCAGAGCGCCAAAGACAGAAAAACTGAATTTTGTACGGACATATGGTGGAGAATCACAGAGCTATGAAAAAGTCTTGCAAGATAAAAGTTCGAGCAAGTGGGAGCTGGCAGAACTTCCACCAGGAAAGAAGACATTGCATAATAAGTGGGTGTATCGGGTGAAGACTGCGTTTGATGGCGGTAAGAGGTACAAGACTGCACTTGTTGAAAAAGACCTTCAACTGAGGCATGATATTGCCCATGCAGTGGGAGTTGTTAGCAGATACAAGAGTAACCAAGGAAAGTGCTTGGAGGTACAAGACTGTGTTTATGCTGATATATCAGCTGAGGGTGTTACTCTTGAGAAGCTGAAGTTGTGCTCGACTTCAGCTGGTCTTCTGGCATGAAGACCGGAGGTTTGAGTTGCAGAGGTGGAGGATATCACGTTTGAGGAAAAGGGCAGTGCA